TTTTTTAGAATTAAAACGTATTTGTTTATGGAATTCCAATAATAATTATATATTATTATTAGTGCGCAACCGGCACCATGCTGTTTTTAATACGCTTTTATTAGCTTCAGACGTATTTATGTTTGTAACGGAATCTTTGAACATGATATTGACCACCTTCAAAACGTCGAATTAACTCAAAATTTTGTATACTTATTAAGGAACGATGATAATTAAATTAAAAAAAAATTGAAAAAGAAAGTTTAAAAAAATTTAAATTCAACTAAAAAATAAATAACAAATAATAGTTTAAAAAAACTAACAAAATACGCTTTTATAGAAAATCCAACAAAAAATAGAAGATAAATTTTAATAAATTTGAATCAAAAATAGTGTAAGAAAAAATGATTTTATTGTAAAAAAGCGCGGGGTGCTTTTCAGGATATTATCAAAATAACCCTTCTACTCATATCTGTTCATAAACTATTTATAACTACTGATACCATGCACCCCACGCTTTTACTACAATAAATTATTTTTTCTTACACTATTTTTAATTCAAATGTATTAAAATTAATTTTAAGTAATAACGTCAGCGTTGCCCTCTATAGTGAGAGTAATTAAAACTTACTTCTTCAGATTACTCACTCAGATTACTTCAGAAACTTTCTTCAGATAATTCCTTTTATTGAATTTCAATCGTATAACAATAACAACAAAGAACTCCACCTTGTTGGGCTGCTCAAGCTGTAGTAATAGTGTAGGTGAAAATGCAACTGGAAAATTATTTGGCGAAAATTGGACGTATTTTAATTCTTATTATTATATAGACAAGCAAATTTATCACAAGTGTATTGAAATAAAAGTATTAGTAAAAATCAAGTTTTCGTCCAACGCTAATTTGATATATTTCACACATATTACATTATCAATAGAAAAAGTCATGAAAAATAATAAATAACTAAATAAAACAATAAAATATGTTGAGTACAACAGTAACATTAATAGGGGAATTGTTATGAAAATAAAAGAAAGTAGTGCAAAGCTTTTGTAAAATTAAAATGACCTTTTTTAATTGTTAATAATTTAATTTATTTTAATGTAAACGAAAGTCGGGTATCCATTTGCGTCCATCAAATATAACCGCAGTTATTATTTTTAATGAATGCTCATCTCATTTCACATTCTCTAGAGCCGAAGCAAACCAAATAATATCAAACGAAATATATTAAAAAAACGTTCTTTAATCTCAGCATGAACAAAAACCTTAATTTGAGATTGTTCAAATCCACGGACCAAATAAAACGCGCAAAGAAAAACAGCTTGAGAAGAAAGCAAATAATTTGATTCGGATTTCAAATGAATCTTAACGATGTTTTCGTAAAACATGTTACAAAAATATGAATTTAAAAAAACTTCACTGATTTACTACGATAATTTCGGTGATAACATACTTTTTATGCTTTAAATTTACATACTTAAATACACCTATAAAAAAAATATCAGCTTATATATAATTAACTGTATATTTAAATTAAACTACTTATATTTAAATTAAATTAAACTCTTACTGGTGGTAGGACCTCTTGTGAGTCCGCGCGGGTGGGTACCACCACCCTGCCTATTTCTGCCGTGAAGCAGTAATGCGTTTCGGTTTGAAGGGTGGGCAGCCGTTGTAACTATACTTGAGACCTTAGAACTTGTATCTCAAGGTGGGTGTCGCATTTACGTTGTGGATGTCCATGGGCTCCAGTAACCACTTAACACCAGGTGGGCTGTGAGCTCGTCCACCCATATCTAAGCTATAAAAAAAAGAAAAGTAAAACATGTTTTTTTTTTTTTTTTTCTTTTTTCCTACCTAAGCTGATAGCCCTAGCGGCTATGTCAGCGTAACCCTAACTTTAGTAGGTGAGCTCACGGGGCTCAAACCTGACGATGTTGCTAACACGAACCCTAGCAAGAGCCGTGCTTCGCAGAATCTACCACCGGATCGGAAACGCGACCCACTGAGAAGATCCGGCGAGAAACTCCGTGAGCTGTGTCTGAGAGTTAATTTACTCGTCGAGCCCTTCGTCGCAAGCGACGGGTTCATGATATGTAATTAAATTTAGGCGAGTCAGCGGCATAATTCTGTTCTTGTCGTTCGCTATTATCCAGAATACGTTTTAATTCAAAAATATCAAATTACTCAGTGCTAGTTATTACCAACTTCCAGCGGAATTATTTCCGGGTGGCCCACTATTATTATTATATTCCACACGAGTAGCCGTTAAAAGGCAGCGGATTCGGTTTAATTAAAATTCGGCACGTCTGCATGTACAGTGGACGATATGATTCTTATCTTATTCGTTATCGTTCTATGATTCTATATAGGTTTCGAAAATTGTTACGGTTCTGCGTTATCGTCTAATTTGATGGTGGTATATTTTAACAATTTCATGAAATCGACAAATTATTAGTTTTTTATTTTTTATCTTTTACTAACTGACCCGGCAGACTTCGTAGTGCCTCAATCGATAAATAAAAGACCTAAGCTTTTGTATAAAATAAGCTTAAAACAAATAAAAGTAATCCCTCTGACGGGGGACCATCAAAGGAAAAACAAAATTGTTATTTTTATTTAATTCCTAGCATTTTCTTATTTATCAACCTTTTAAAACTTCTCTGGACTTCCACAAATAATTCAAGACCATAATTAGCCAAATCGATCCAGCGGTTCTCAAGTTTTAGCGAGACTAACGAACAGCAATTCATTTTTATATCTACCTATATAGATTACACTAGATGGATGGACGAGCGTACGACTCATCTTTTTTTATTGCTTAGATGGGTCGATGAGCTCACGGCCCACCTGGTGTTAAGTAGTTACCGGATCCCATAGACCCTAATGACGCAAATGCTGCAACCCACCTCGAGACATGAGTTCTTAGGTCTCAATTTTTACAGTACAACGGCTGCCCCGCCATTCAAACCGAAACGCATTACTGCTTCACGGCAGAAATAGGCAGGGTGGTGGTACCTGCCCGTGCGGACTCACAAGATGTCCTACCACCAGTAAAAAAATCATTCATCTAGTGGTTTATTGGTGTTAAGTTATACTGTAAGCCCGTACGTACAGGTACGTGCCACTTTTCTTGGTAATTTTTGACGAGAAACGAAAATAGGTTTCAGGTTGAACGGAGGGAAAGCTTCTATCCAAGTCAGATCTCGATCGTATATCTACAAACGACTGGCAGCATTAACATTGTGCTTGTTGTCTATGAGATTTGATAATCACTTGACACTAAATAGGCCGTGTGCTGCTGGAACGTTTGAGTCCTATCTTTTTACTAAATAAAAAAACCTAAAGTCTTAAAGATCAAAACGTGACTACCTCTATCCACTTAAGGACATGAGCTGAAAGTCTCAGGCACTTCTATTACTATTTTTCCATCATTACTCCATCCTGGTAGTTACTATACTTAATTTTCAACTTTACCTTAAATATTTACCTTGAATAACGTGGAATAACAAGCATGTTGGAATCTTGCACGGATAGCCAATATTCCAAAGCAACTAAGATTTCGACTTTACATTTGAAGAAGAATGGCATCATTCATAAATTGATGCAGACCAAATTCGGAATTAAAATAATTAAAAAAAATTACAAAAAAAAAGATATCTGAGCAGCTTCCATTAGAGAATCCATTCGAAAACACATTGACGATCTGTCACATGCAAGTAAAAGACTATTATAATGTTCTCAATTGGCGAAGCGTCGATTGACAAACGCATTGTATCGCAGAACAAATGAACCATGTGTTTGGTCCTAAATGGATATCTGTGGTACTCTGAATTTATCAAAGGCAGCTAAATGCCTTTTAAAAGTTAATATCTAAAGTTAAATCCTAAACGAATAAAAAAATTAAAGTTTATGCATTTTTGTGCTCAAACATAATAATTAATTCATTAACTTAATAATAAAAAACTTAAAATCGTAAATTACAACACTTAAACTTTTCAAATGAAAGTCTAAAATCAATACAGTTATTTTATAGCTATAGGTTATATGTATAACGATTAGCTTTGGTAGAAAATTAGAATATGACGACTGTGGGTAAAAGAAGTCCTTTTATCTTGAAAATGCGTTATTAATAATAATTTACATTTTACAAAATTTACTAATAGATTGAATTATAGAGACAGCTTGATAATCAATCTTAAAAAACAAATAATTTCATTTTAATTACAATAATTTCTTTGTAAGATATCAATGTGTAAGATATCAATTTGTAAGATATGTGTGTCTTTATAGTGTCTATTGCATAGATTTTATCGCGGGCCTTGAGGGCGGCTTGAGAGCAGAATCATGAAATTCCGTAACGAAAAAAACCTTCCACCCCTCACTACGCCTACTATGTAGCTCGCGTTCAACACATTCACACATTGCGCTTGTGTAGTGTTTAAAGTAAGAAGTCTAAACACCAATTCACCACCATCAATTATATTATTATCACATTACAATGCGTTGGGCATGCCATTTTTTATCGCTTAGTCGAAGAATTTTATTACTACTCCTACTACTCATTCAGTGATTGGAGTGGCATTAAAATTAAACTAGCTAAGCCGTTGATTCTGGGCGAATGAGAGTTAGAACTAGCATCCAAAGGCGTGTCTCTATCCCATGTAGCGCCCTCTAGTGAGTGCGCGGTCAAAATGGAATACTCACAATGTAGCAGATTCATTGAAAGTTAGCCCACTGAGTTTCTCGCCGGATCTTATTTTATTGTTGTTTTAATATTAGATTATTATTGTCGATTTATTATTGCATAAGTTGATAAAAAATGCTATGCAATAGCTTTACCGCGGCAGTCTCCAAGTGCCACACATCTTTTCTTTGTTCACGACTTTTGTTTACCAATAGAAACATAATCTCTACTTTAATTATAAAAATAATAATAAAATGTTTTACTTAATTTATTTTAGTATCTTTTATATAAAGCCAGCGAAATAAGTACATTATGACATGCATTTTTTTTCAGGTAATCTACTAGTGATCCTAGTAGTAACTTTATCGAGGCGTCTCCGTTCCATAACAAACTTCTTTCTTGCGAACCTTGCCGTGGCAGATTTATGTGTCGGAGTGTTCTGTGTTTTCCAAAATCTAACTATATATCTTATACCGAGGTGAGTGAATCGGAACATCAGGTAAACATGATACGATATTTAACTGGCCAATGTAATCTATATTTGTTTATGGCCAGGGCTATATTTGTTTCAACGTGTTCGAGGAGGTTGGATTTTGTTGAGTTTCAAATCAAGGGCATAATGTTTTGGCAAATCGAAATCAAAGAGCGACTCTTTTGATAAATAAACAGCCGCCCGAATGAATAGTTTCATTTCAATGAAAACATTTATTTGTAGGTTGAAGTATGAATATTAAAATGGCTAGTTGACATTAAGTTGTCAACGAGCCATGGTATTATCTATATATTAATACGTGAAGCAAAAACTTTGTATCCCTTTTTACGAAAATTGCGCGGACGGAGGAGTATGAAATTTTCCAAACTTCTAGAGAATATAGAGAAGAAGTGCACAATGCTAATATTTTTTTTAAATAATGCATAAAAGATACATTAAATCAATAAAGGAAACATTACACACACTACATACCATGTATTTGGCGCACACACGCATGCATACTATTTATTGTCAAACTTTTGTTCTTGACGTCTGTTGTCAAATTGAGATTAAATATTGTTTGTTTTTGTTAATATTTTTTTATAGTGTAGTCTTGGCAAAATTTGTGATTATAACTATAGAAGTATAAAATACAATCATAATAATGTACAAACTTACAATTCCAATTAATTATAGTCGAATTTCGACTACTGCGGGATCTCTAGTATTTATTAACACCGTGATCCATGTGATCATGTTAAAACACGTACAGGGCTAATATATAATCTGTTAAATTTCAAGTGTCAGCAGCGTATTTAGTAAATTTTATATAGGTAAGCTACGTTTTACGCGCTCCATCCAACACAAAGCAAACAAACAAGGTCCAATGTCGAGCAGGCTTGTGTTTAATTAATCCGAAATGAACGTTCTGTTTGTGTTTGGATAATACGACGGTCTTTACGAATTTTCCATTGATAACAAGACGTTTCCCGTTAGTAGTTACAAGCGAGTCAATATTATTTTACAATACTACAAAAAAATTGCCAGAATATAAGGAAAGAGAGAGAGAGAGAGAGAGAATACACTTTATTGCACACCAAAACATAATTTACATTCAAAAAAACAATCAAAAAACAGATAAATTTGTACAATAGGCGGTCTTAAATCCCTTAAATCCCTTAAAGCCCTTAAGTCTCCAAAAAAACAACTATGTTTTATCTATCTGCCTTACACAGTTTGATAGTAGAATTATTCATTAAAAATAATAATGTATTTTCAATATGGGTAATAAAATAAAAAGTGATAAAATCTAAAACGTGTTATATTCATGTTAGAAATCAGTATGAACACCAATTTAGATTCTTAGCAGCAGTATCTGTGAGAATACTCAGGGTCAGACTAATAAGGTCAGAACCCCGGTAAGCCTTTTTTCGATATTTGTAAAGTTTGTAGTCATTTTTTATTTTTTGCTTTGATGGTTGGACGAGCTCACGGCCCACCTGGTGTTAAGCGGTTACCGGAGCCCATAGACATCTACAACGTAAATGCCGTCACCCACTTTGAGACATGAGTTGTTAGGTCTCACTATTAACAGTACAACGGCTGCCCCGCTCTTCAAATCGAAACGCATTACTGCTTCACGGCCAAAATAGGCAGGGTGGTATCTACCCGTGCGGACTCACAAGACGTCCTACCACCAGTAATTATGCAAACTATAATTTTGCGGGTTTGATTTTTATTACACGATGTTATTCCTTCACCGTGGAAGTCGATCGTGAACATTTGTTATGTACGTATTTCGTTGGAAAAATTGGTACCCGCCGGCGGGATTAGAACACCGATGCATCGCTACATACGAATGCCCGGTGCCGTTTTATCCTTTAGGCCACGACGACTTCAAAATTTCATTCATTTGTCTTCATTTGTCTACATCCTCGTACATTAAAATTACGATACCCAGATAAAACCCGAGGAGCACTCAAAAGATATGAAAAATTATTATTGGAATGATGAATAGCTTATAAACTGAAACAGTGGATGTGGAACGTAAAAAGCCTTTTTTACAACAGACTTCGATAACTTTTTTCGATATCTTTTTATGTTAGAACAGTATTCATCGTAATTGATGCGTTTCAGTAATTTATAAAATTATCTACTTCATATTTCACACATAAATTTAACGATAAGTTGTTTTGAGAATGTCTTCAACTACATTTTGAATGTTATTAATGCAATTCAAATGTATCATTTAAATTTTCTATTATTTTGTTACAGTTGGATATTTGGAGATTTTCTGTGTAAAATGTATCAGTTTGTTCACTCGTTGAGCTATACTGCGTCCATTTTTATATTGGTCGTGATATGCACGGAACGTTACTTCGCAATAATACATCCAATTACTTGCAAGCAGATTCTGACATCGACGAGACTTAGGGTAAGTTTTGCTTTGTTACGTAGGAAAAGGGAACTGTTCTACAAACGTGAAAGAGGGTGTTGCGTAGGCTGGAAATTGTTGAACATGATGTATTATGTAATATGTATCAGTCGCGATATGCACGGGATTTTTTTTACGGCCCACCTGATGGTGAGTGGTTACCGTCGCCCATGGACTTCAGCAATGCCAGGGGCAGAGCCAAGCCGCTGCCTACCGCTTAATACTCTCCACAAGCCTCGTTTGAAGAAGGACATGTCATAGCGCTCGGGAAACACCGTGGAGGGGAGCTCATTCCATAACCGGATTTAGCCGGATATTTTATACGGTGATATGCACGGTACATGCATGTATTATGTATTGGTCGTGATATGCACGGAACGATACTTCGCAATAATACATCCAATTACTTGCAAGCAGATTCTGACATCAACGAGACTTAGGGTCAGTTGCTTTGTTACGTAGGAACAAGGTTCTGCAAACGCGAAAGAGGGTGTCGCGTAGGTTGGAAATTGTTTAACCTGATGTATTATGTAATAATAGTAATATATTAATAATTGTACACTTGAATGAGATGCCTGTCATTCAGTTCACGTGTACGCAATTGATCTTTCCTGTTTTTACTGTACAATAAAAAAGATGAAAAATTCGCAACGCACTTGAAAGCGGAGACAGCTATATTTTGTTTTTATGGGAATCATTTTGCAGAGGAAAATCTCTCCGTAATACTCCTAGTCACATGTTTTCATTATTTCTTAGCTCGGGGTAAGATGTGTATTTATATTTTAAGGCAATTTTTATTTTTTATTTTGAGTCACAGGGTCTTATTCTAAATTTTAGATCTTAATAGTAAGTATATAAGTGTAATTATTTAAATATTATATAAGCCTTGCTCTAAGGATTGGTTGGCTTTGGGCTACATCTGGAAGTCCCGGTTCATAGATCCATATTTCTCAGTTTCTTGTCTAACGTCATATCTAAATCCTTTACGTCCAAAGTGTGAAGCTGTATATTGTATATTGCGAATCCTCACAGGTCACAATCCTACTTAATTCTACAGTGAAGAAATCATGCGAAGCAACGTAAAGCCGACAGTTGTGCCAATGTCAATATAGAGGTTTAATCTTGCCTAGGTTGTTTATAGGTATTGGCACCAAAGCGAAAGGTTCTAAAATAAGGATATTAACTAAAATGGAACTGAAAACGAGGATCCTGTTTTTTTTAACAATAATCCAAGAGGGAATCGTTCGACTCATACTTACTTCACAAATGTTTCGCGTAAAAGCTGTTTTTCTGTCCCCTTTGGGTGTTATTGACCCTATATTTTACTGTCAAATGTCTCCAGTTATCTATTACCGAAACGGGGTTCACGAAACGCTAGACCAAAAATCTTTTGAAGCATTTTGTATCTTAAGGCCTTGAAATGAGCTAGCCAAATCTTTTTATTTTTATTGTTACAATTTTTACTAGGTAATAAATCTACATTCCCTTAAAGTGAAAGCTTTTAAAAGAAAAGCCAACAATTTCTCACTTGAATAGTAATAGGACAATAAAATATATTCGTATCCGTTCAGAATGAACAAAGCCCGTGATGTGTTGCTTTCTCAAAAATAACTAGAACATATTTCCAGTTGGTGATACTTGGTGTATGGATCACTAGCGCCGCGTATAGCGCCCCGAAATTCATATGGGTGGAAACGATAACAAACGATTTGGGCAACGGGCAAATGGAGACTATATGCATACCGCATCGCAGGAAATATAACTCGGAAATATTCGATATGGTGAACTTCGGGCTGCTCTACGTGACCCCGCTCTGTGTTATGACTGTAAGTATTAAATAATTAAATTATAAATGCAACTGCTCACGCGTTCAGTATGAGATAAATAAATGAGAACTTATTTTAAATAAGATGTTAAAATTGCTTGTTTGCTATGATGTTGGATGTGATGTGATGTAATGTGACATATCGACGCTTTAAAGGCAAACGTGACTAAGCGACAATAACTGCTTTATACATAAATGATAGGCAATGACCATATTCGATGCGCAAAAAATAAAAAAATATAAACATAAAAATATTTCTAGGTCTATTAAAATCATTTCAATCCTACCGCTAGATTCATTAAAATAGAATTTATTTCAGGTATTTCAACTTTAAATTAGTCTACTGTAAAATTCACGCGTTGTCGCTTAGTCACGTTTGCCTTTCAAGCGTCTATATGTAATGAGATGTGATGTTTAAAATAATGTTTTGTTTGTTATAATTTCTCATCTCTTATGAAGCCCCAGTCTTAGTTAATTAGAAAAGCGGCTGCCCCAGCCTTTCACACCGAAACGCGTGACTAATTCTCGGCAGAAATAAACAAGATGGTGGTACTTAGCTATGAGCTCCCATAATATTTATAAGTAAATATGTTGTTATATCGCTGGGCTGATTTATATATATTACACAATATAACTAATCGCAGAACTTCAGACCAGAAATCACGGATACATAGATGCTTACATTTTATATTGAAAGATCTATCTATCATGAACAAACTAACGACCCACCTGGTGTTAAGTGGTAACTGGAGTCCATAGACATCTACAACGTAAATGCCGCCACCCACGTTGAGAAAAAGATCTAAGGTCTCAGTTTGAACAGTACAACGGCTGCCCCACTCTTCAAAGCGAAACGCATTACTGCTTCATGGCAGAAATAGGCAGGGCGGTGGTACCTACCCGTGCTGACTCACAGCACGTCCTACCAACAGTAATGAATGTCAAGATGTTGATGATTTATCAGTTTATTTTTATCAGTAGAAAAATATAATATATTCATTAAATCTCAACATAGACGGCTCAATTTTCAGCACATTTTTCCATTACAATGAACTAATTTTTTTTGACGTAAGATGGCCACTACATTTCAGTCTATTTTCTGACGTAACGCAGTAATTTATTGATGTTTGGTGCGATCTTATGTCTCAAGGTCGACAGCGGTATTCACGTTGTGTGATGTCTATGGAATCCAATAACTACATTTACAATACCAAAAGAGCCAAGATTTTTATTAGTAATGCACACAGTGTACGACTTAACTTTGTAATAACGTACAAAAAATAACAATTTTTTTTATCATTCATTGTCCACGATCTCAGAGCGTTCGTTTGCGCAATACACTAACTCTTATGCAAACAACCGTGAATGAAGTGTACCACAATAAGTTCGCACGCTACCGAATGACCGTGGGTTATTGCGAAACTTCCGGTTTTATTTTCCTTATACCTCGAATAGAACTTAAATTAATATTTTTATAATAAGGAACTTCATTCCTAGCCGGTGTCCCACGACACCACACATCTTTTTTTTATATTAAAACACTATAATCTATTTTTGTATTTTACATTAATTTGTAAGATTTTGCCTAATCACGGGAACATAAAGCTGTTTTGTAAGCGTTACCCAGAGGTATTAACTATGTACATAAACCTAATGTAAAATTGCAATAAAATTTTACGTAGAAGATATTAATAAAACAAATTCCATATTATGATGTTTAGATATTTACCTGTGCCGAGATCAGTTAATTTGCTTGTTTATTTCATGTTCATTCCTTATGCAAAAGACCATTATATTATTATAATGTCAAGATTTAGACTGGAATTCAGTGCACTAAAAATTTTCGCAGAAAACTGCTGAACATCTTTCAAAACTCAAACTCAAGTAGATAGACCAATATTTATTGTGAATATTAATATAATAATATAAGTAATATATAGATAAGTAGTATATAGATAATTTTTAAGCTCAAAATCTAAAAAAAAAATCAGAAAAAAAAAATTGTTGAATGTTTACATTTTAAAAAAACACACACACACACTTCTTCTATTATAACTTTTTTGCTTGATGTTTGTGTATCTACGATTAGTAAAGAATGAACGAGGTGTAACTTTAATTTTTTAAATTTATTATTAATGAAGGATTACTGGTGGCCCAAAGACCTTTCCAATTCGGTTGGCGAGCAAAGGCTTCGAAAATGAATCTACTGCCGGATCGGAATCGCGACTCGCTGGGAAGAACCGGCGAGAAACTCAGCGCGCTGATGTATGGGTTAGGCTGCACGTCAAACTCTGCAAAGAGTTCGACGAGTACGGTTACCGAGGTCCCTAAGCGTTAGAGCTGAAAGCGTCTAGTGCTGAGATTAATGGATCTGATGGATCCGTAAGGACGGGTTTAGGGCGTCAACGGTGTCTAGCACCTACGTGGGCAGGAATTAGGGAGTAATCAGCGTTGGCAACGATAAGGTAATTATCATGATGCATAGCTTTATCGAAGCACCATTCCGACGCTAACTTCAGGTGTTTCCGGATCGGTTCAAGACCCAGATCGTCGTGTAGATTGACGTTACGACTATAGAACTTTTAAGTGGTTTATTATTATTTTTCTATTTGTTTTCCAACATTTAAGACTTAATAATACTTGGTAAAGCTTTGAATACTAATAATGCAATACAAGATACAGATTCTCTTAGTAATTTGGAATAAGCATACATCGTTTATAATGTTCATCTCAACAGATTTTTCATAAAATATTCCTAGATCTTATACCTTTAAACGAGTAATTCTTGTATATATATATAATCTGAATCTCGGAAACGGCTCCAACGATTTTTATAAAATTTACTATACATGGGATTTCGGGGGCGATAAATCGATCTAGCTACGATTTATTTTCAGAAAATGTTGTTTTATTACCAATAATCAACGTTATTGATATCTTCCCGAGATCTATTGGCGAATAATAATACTATTTTTCATAATTTCAACTAACTGCTTTAAAGACACAATAACACTAAAGCTATTTCAGCAGATGGCGTTGTTAAGCCACTTATCATCGTCTTATCATTTAATCATTATCATTTAAACGAGTACGGACGGAAATTAATCGCATTTGAATATTACAATTATCCACACGACAGATTACAAGCACGCACAAACATATTACTAAATTTTACTTTTCAAACATTATAAAATACCTACATTAATTTAAATAAATTGCTATGTTCTATTTATGGAAAGAAATTGAGGAGAACTAATTGGTTTTACACAAGTAGGTCATAAGCTAAAAGCTTGGTATACGAACGATTTTCTTAATTGCGTACTTAAACAGCTTCGATACGTAATACTTTACATTTTACCAAGTACACTCAATAATCTCTATATATAAAATTGAATTGCTGTTCGTTAGTCTCGCTAAAACTCGAGAACGGCTGGACCGATTTGGCTAAATTTGTTCTTGAATTATTTGTGGAAGTCCAGAGATGGTTTAAAAGGTAGATAAATATGAAAATACTCGGAATTAAATAAAAATAACAATTTTGTTTTTCCTTTGATGTGTCCCCCGTCAGACGGATTCCTTTTGTTTGATTTAAGTTTATTTTATACAAAAGCTTAGGTCTTTTATTTATCGATTGAGGCACTACGAAGTCTGCCGGGTCAGCTAGTAACAAATAAACTCTAAATCGTAACGTCTTTCGGAAAAATAATTCCTGCTACTTTAAGGACAAAAGCTCCTGGTAAACCGTCTTGTTTAAATTTTGTACGAATGGATATATGTCCTTTGGGTCTTATATAAAATTTTATTACAAGCAAAGGAAGTGAGAATTGAATCGTAAGTGTTATGGATCTTTGTGAAGATAAAAATGGTTTTAAACCGTTGTGTGTGTATCTCTTAGAGCCTTAACGTAAAATATGTTCAAGACTCCGAAGATAGCTTTTCAACTAATTACTTCTTAACTGATCCAATAACATCGTTTGATGAATTTTAATTTAAGCCTGAAAGCATTTGTTCAATTATGTACACCAGCAAAATGTTAGTCTTGTTAATTAAGAATATTTTGAGTGTAATCTGCTTATCCCTTGAGAACTAACCACGTACCCTCCCAAATCCGTGATGAAGTCCTCGTCATCACGAAAATTCGACGAGGCTCGTTAAACAAAACTGTATGAAACCAAACTTGATGGGATTACTCGTTAGCTACTTTACACCAACTTTTTAGCTCTATCTCAACCAAAGTGAAGCGAAATATACTTACTAAAAATAAGGTTACACAACCAAAAGTTTATTAAATACAGAATTACGTCGAAGGACAACTTGACAAGCAAACTTCTTGCTGAAAAACAATGTAGTGGTTTCTATCTATTTGACACTTTTTTAATTTTTGTTTCTATTATTTGTGGACAAACCCACGGCCCACGAAGTGCTAAGTGGTTACCAGGACACCTAAACATAGACAAATAATACCGCCAACCACCTGGAGACATGAGTTCTAAGGTCTCCGTTTTTACAGTATGTCTGCCCTACCCTTCAAACCGAAACGCATTACTGCTTTATGGTAGAAATAAGTGGGTGGTATATACCTGTGCGGGCCACAAGAGGCCTAGCCACCAGTAATAAATGAACAATTCTTTCTTCCTAGTCGTACACTTTTGTCAGAGTGGTCGTGGTCATGCATCAGTCAGATCCTGCGACACCGATGCTCTCGCGATGCGACGCCATGTGGCACGGTGTTTCGCAGAGTGAGAGCAATAATTTATGTTGGAGTGAGTCACAGATTTTATGAGGTCGGTCCATCGTGTTGGAGATCGTCCGCGAGATCTTTTGTCCTGGACTTTCCCTTGCACCGCCAACCGCTCAATGGAGTCCTCATTACGAGTGATGTGCCCGAAGAACTTGAGGATTCGTAATTGGACTGTTGACGATAGTCTTTCCTTGATGTTGAGCTCTTTCAAGATCGAAGCGTTGGTACGGTGCGCGGTCCACGGAATTCTGAGGAAACGT